CATCTAAATCGACGTAACTTCTATTCGCTAGCCATTTTTTCAATAAACGGTTGATGAGACAGTCCATAAAAGTTTCTGCTGGTGAATATGGCAGATTCAGGGGCAGATCCCATTTCTTAGTTGGCTCTGGCTGATTGTTCGATCGCCCGAAAGTTACTGAGATCGCGGAATGATTGCGCCACCTTCCAATATTTCTCGAAGTAGTTAAGCCTAATTTTGCGAATATGCGGATGGTTTTTTGAGCATATTCTTGTAGAGGAAATCAAGTAGATCATTTCTAGAAAAAGCCCGAACTCAATAGTCAAACACTTTCGGGATGAATGTCACTTCCGCGGCAGACACTCAGCCAAAAAATAATAACTCCGGTTCGAACGCCGAAAAACGTTCACTGTGCTGGTGTAATACACTCATTCACGCTTTCTCCTGCTAACAGCAATAATAGAAAGCAAATACAATTATTATTTCTATCATATGTGGCTTTGAAAAAAGAGTTACTCCACCAAGAATCATCTTAAAAAAGGAATCGCCCTGAATCTCACCGTGAGTACAACTGTCCCAGCAATGATTTCATCTGATCGACTGTCATTTATAGTGGCCAGCATCGGGAAACGAAAATCTCCTGAAAAACCAATTGGTTGTGACTACCACGGTGACCTTACATGAAAGTGCTTACTCTAAACTGTGCAAAGAGAATTCTCAGATACCCCATGATTTTCGACACGAAATGGGTTTGAACAAAGCGGATCTTCCTAAGATTTATCAGAATCCCAGCCTTTGTCAAGCTGATCCTATTCTTTCAAATAAAACTTTTGAATATGATTCAATGCTCTGTACAAAAAGCCAGAGCTAATAAAAGTGTCAGAAAATTGGTGAAGTATATTAAAAGGCTGCAGATGGCGAACAACTCTGCAGCTAGATCGAGTTGCAACCCGCAGATGGAAACAATCAAATATGGTTGACGTATGTTAGTTAGAGCTTTTAGAATTCAGATCTGAATTCATAATTAGGGAATAGAACACCTAGGTTGCCATTGATTATCAGATGGTAAACAAGGCTACCGTATCACTAATTTATGTTTTCATCTGTTTACCAGTGATTTTTCCTGTTACTTGTTATGCAATTGTTTTGATCAAGGGTTTTTCACTAACAGGGTCTCTGATAAAGAATGAAATAAAGTTCCTGATAAGGAATGAAATACAAACCCGGATGTAGTTTTTCTAAGGCGAAGATAATCAAGGGAAAGGCTCGGGTGGGGTAGCAACTGTAGTGATACCACCTTTTCTGACTGCATATATCGGTGAATTGGGAAGAAATACAGATACAGACAGACTGTTTCAGATTATTGTGACCAGAACTAGCTTTTTGAGAGAGGCTGAGCTTGTAGCGAAAGGCCCCGTATTCATCCCATCTTCTTCCGCCTTCTTCCGTCATTTTTCATTCGATTTTCCTTTTCGATAAACTGCGATCAGGATGGAGAGAAAATACCAACTTTTACACTATACACCAAGAAAAATGGCTCCCTCCCACACTTCTTGTTGGAAAAAAATCGGCAGAATGACTGCAAATACGTGAAGAAATACCCTTTTAAACGCAGAAAAGACCTATAAGGATCTGCACAGTCGTTCCACATTGTCGCAGAAAAACCTCTCCCCAACAGTTAGGACTATGTAACAGTGTTCTTCCCAACTAGCTATTAGCTTAGCCCTATTGGAATTGCCATCCTCAGCTCGAGTACTACGATCCACATGAAAGGGTCTACCAGCAGGGAAGACTCACTGGCTTGTTATCGTCTAATAAGCTTCAATCAACAGTCTCTGTTAATAGAGTCCTCTAACAGAATCGTGTCACTCCATAAAATTCTGGCTATGTGACCCTTATAATATTGAAATACTCTTTCTGAGATTTTGAGGAGCGATAGCCTCCTCTTAAAGATCTGAATATATCCTGAATTATCTTAAAAATCGGACGATCCATTTATGCATTTTGCTGTCGCTAGACTTCTTCAGCAGATCTCAGCGGAGATGTCCGTAGTGTCGGATATCCAACTCAAAAAGTTCCCGTCCAAGCACGTTTCGTTTAGTCGGGCCTTCCTCGATTACTCCTCTTCCTATGGAGCGAAGGAGGCATTGGTGAGTCATTTTGACTTCATTACTTACAATCACCAAGATGATCTTCTGTTAGCTGTAAAGAAGATGGTGCTACGAGTAGGACTAACAGCACTGAAGTTTTGGGGTGCCACCTCTTTACCAGCTCGTGATTACGTGTTTCAGTGATTTTCAAAGCAATGAAGGCTCTCTGACTCATGCAAAGGATGAATTATTTGGGAAGGAGATCCAATATAGAGGCGCTTACACTTTTTAGCTGTCTGATTATAGCTCGAATTTGACTTTTGAATGCATTTGCCTACTGTCACGGCGAACTTTCTAGCAGCTGCATTGCAGATTGATCCAGATACTGGAGAAAAGCTGACATTCTTGGAATTACCGTCTGCTGTGGAACGAGTTCAACGGCAGCTAATAGGGATTAACAAGGTCTGTTACCATAACCATTTTTGACGTCATTCCTTTTCTTTTTGAAGCTTTTGAGAAACAACCCATCAGCGAAATGCACAGTTTGTTTTCTAACGCTTCCAAGGAGGGAAGTCTGTTGTCAAACAAGTATTTATTTCCCTTATGAGCCAAGCAGTGGAAATGACGGCAGTCTATAGGAATGACAATATTGTGACGCAATTCATTTATAAGCCTACATCAGTTCGAGCGAAAATTAAATTCCACCAGCACATTGTCCAAATCGTCCAAAGCACTGTATTGATATTGATCGAAATCGATCAGCATTAGTAATTTGTCCTTGCAATCTTGTTACCAAATTTAAGGGCACTGTCATCGCAGCGGTGTGCGGAAACTCAATCTCTATACTTCTTGTCTACTTGGCAGCAATAGATGTTGGTGCTATCATTCTGCCTGTGAATCCAGCATCGAAGCGATGTAAGTCATCAGATTCCAAAATTATTTTGTCCGAGCTTCACCGTTCTGTTTGCTGGAAATCTGTTCGAAATCCAATGAACTGAGACTTTTGCGGGTGGTAGCAACTCAATGGCTGGGGAGCTCGAAAAAACCTTGATTCCTTCCTGAACTCCAAGCCTTCAACACTTCCAAAAAGTGAAAAGCTATCTTCAAAATCGACTACCCGACGTAAGCCACCGCATATATGTACCTGAGCAGCATAGGAATGTTTCGTTAACTTAAGCAGATTTCAAGTGCGTGGCGCACTCTATGAAGGCTAATCATTACATCTTCCTTATTACTGACTTTTCTAGCATCCGTTACAGATGAAATTGAGAAGTATTTGAACGAATGCAAGGTTGACTACGTCCTAACAGAAAAGGAGTATGCCGCGAAAGTCAACGAAATTCTTGCTCAACCGAAATTTGAGGCAATATCTACGATCATTCTCGAAGACCTCCTGAAGCGTGAACCATCACCGTCGGTTGCTTATAAGGAACCTAATGAGGAGGACACGGTAAGAGTGGTAAGCATTAGAGGCGCTGCCCTTTAGTATCTTTCGGATTTAGGCCTTTATCTTCTTCTCCTCCGGCACAACTGGACCACCGAAAGCCATTCGACACAATCATCGCACGCTTTTAGCACATCTTTGTCAGATATTGTCAGTTTTTACTCCACGATTGACCATTTATACTTAGACATCCACTGAAACTGCGATAGGTAACGAGGATTGCTTCATTTCGCTCTATTAGCTGATCATCCCTTTTACAGCCCAAGGTTAGTTTCAAGTTGAGAACAGTAGGCCAAAAGGGAGATCATCTTGCACAAACAGCTCCACCCATCACTGGAAGCCACAAACCTCAGCCATTAACGTGGTAAGAAGCCTAGGAGCGATTACGGTAGGAGCAATAAACGCATTTTCTAACATCAAGCCGTGATCTAGTAGGTTTTGATGAAATAAATGTCTTTTCTTACCTCATATTGGTCAACGCAATGAGCCTCCAATGATGATTTTTCTCCTCTTTATGAGTGTCCATTACCACCTCTATTCACACGATTTACACTATCAAACTACCTTGTAGGCGGCTTTTCATTAAAAAAACTCCGTTAAGATCTGTACGCGCTGGTAACTCCAAAGAGTATCCTTTTCCACTCGTAAACGATGACGATCGTGTTCATGGCGTTCTGCCATACTTTCATGCTGGTGGCCTCATTACCGTATTCTGTATGCTTATACAGGGTGCTACGGTAGTTGTCAATAAGAAATGGAATGAGGAAGGATTCTTACGAATACTTCAAGACTTTAAAGTGAGTTTTTAGATTGGTCACTGTTGTTAATGTGGTCATTGTCAATTAGGATCGCCATGAATAACATTTTCATAGCAATTTTCCTCGATTTCCCTTTATCCAGGGGATAGTGAAGGTATTGCCTCAGAAGTTGTAGACCTGTTTCTCTGTTAACCGTAAAACCCTTTTCTCTGAAGCTTTTAGAGGGCTTATGGAAATATGACCAAAGAATTAGCGAATAATTCCAAATTCGTTAAACTTTCACCAGGAAATGCAGTGAGGCAAGTAGACATGTGCGGTGTGGCCGCAGTACTAGTTGCAGTAAAGAGCAGTTGGTCGCATCCATAATTTTACTCAGCCACTAAGTAAAGGCGAACAGATGCTGATGCTCGAGTCAAAAATCATCGCGAGCAGCTAGACAATTTGCTAACTACTAAAAACTACTTTTATCGTGTTTTCCACAACCCTCCGTAATGTCATCCTAAAATTGGTCCCATATATGAAATTCCATTGGATTCTACTATGATGTTTATTTGTTATAGATTACTACTATCAACATTGTTCCACCCATTATGGACTTTCTCGTGAAGCACCCATTAGTCGACTCATTCAAACTAGGGAGTCTCAAGTCAGTTGCACTCTACAACCATTGAGCTCTTTAATTACTTTTCAAAATTTTGTTTTTTGTTTTGTTTTTTTCAAAATCAAAACGGGTCACTTCGATAATGCTCGATGCAGTGGGGGTACTAAGAATTGGGAATAGGCGTTTCGGATCGTTTGCACTGCTCATTGAGGTAGGGTTAGCATTATCACAAAGATGATTTGCTCGTGGTCTCCTTCTGCAAGGAAACCCTTATCCTCCACGCTCAGGTTTTCCTATGCTTTCGAAATCCTATGGGCTTTCAGGGAACTCCAAGAAAACGCTTACATTCTGAAGTACTGATGGGTGAATAAGGTGCACCTTTCGCTCTACCTCCCACGTAGTATGAGAAAAAGGTTCCAGGTCAACATAGCATCAGATCCAATAAACTCTTCAACGCTCTGAGATTTATTAGTTTTACTCGCTTGTCGAAGAAAAAACGTAAGAATGTACAAAGGCGAGACAGAGCAGTTCATCCGCACCCGTTCTTAAAGGCACTGTTCACGAAAAAATGGTTTCGGAGATTTGCACATGGTTTGAATTCGACGCCCCCTCTGATACCATTTGTGCAGTAATGAGGTCGGAAAAGGTCTGGATAGGGCACAATAAGGGGCCGGAGAGTGAGCCACGGTCGCCCTCCGCCCCTCGCTAGGCTGACTACGAAATCTAATTGCCGTTCACCACTTTCGCATTGGAGGGAAGTTGGTGAAAAATCGATAAGCTGTTTGGCAAATTGCCAGAGTCTGCCAGTCAGATTGTCAGGCAAATTGGGTGTGTTGTCTGCTACTGCAGACGTTGCGTCGCCTTCGTGCACTCGCCCGAACACTCCCTTAACCGCCGTTCTCCCAATGTGAAACTCGTCCAACCCCCCTTTCCAGCCCTTTTTTGACCCTTTCTATTTCTTTTTGCTTATCGTTTTCTGCGCGTCTATTCTAGAGTAGTTCTATGAATTCCCGTCAAAAAAGGGTACCCTAAATTTTTCGTGAACGGTGTCTCTAGAACAAGGTGGACGGTGAACGCCAGGAACTTTGTTTTTCCATCATTTATCTTCATAGAGTAATTTTGTTTTTAACAGTGTAGTATGGGCTTCAAGAATTACGGTTTTGACCAAATGTATACTTTCCAGAACTGTATTCGTAGGAGCCGCAAAATGTGATGAGGTCCTTCTTCGGTCACTAAAACGTCGTCTTCCTAGTCTGGAACATGTCACCCAATGTGATCATTTGCTGACACATTTTGCCCTATTTCTTCATTCTTACTGATTTCCATGTTTGTAGTGTATGGCTTGACTGAAGCGGGTGTGCTACTGTTCGTGACTCCTATTAGGAATCCACATCTGTCATCCGTCGGCAGAGCTATGCCTGGAGTCCAAGCTAAGGTCTTTTCTCGAAATTAAAACTTTATTAAGCTTCAAAATCGGGCAGGATCCCAAACAACGCTTGGCTGGACGACCCTGTACCTGTCTGCGAGGGATTTCATTCTATCTTGTTTTATAATTTGGATTATAGATTCTTGATGAACATGGCGATCTTATGAAATTCGGTGAAGTTGGCAGACTCGTGGTAAAGGCTCCAACCTATATGCAGGGATATTTAGGAGAGCATCTGTAAGAATTCCTTCGCTATCCTTCTCTCTACATTTCATTTGTTTTCATCTCCACAATGGCAATCATAGTATTAGAAGGATTTTTTTAATGCTTTGCTTTGCTGTAGGGCTTCTGTAACGTTGGTTACACATCATGTTAGCCACATTCGCCATTCTTACCTGATTCCATCTCCCAGACTTGGATTAATCCCAAATAGTTTTTCACCCAATACTCTAAACCTTCTACTAATTCCAGTGCTGTACCATACGGATGGTTTGATACGGGTGATTTGGCTTGTATTGATGACCAAGGCTTCGTCTACATTACTGGCCGCACGAAAGATATGATAAAAGTTCGTGGATGGCAGGTAAGAAAGAAGCAGCAGCGCACCTGCCCCCGGCTGTTTTCGTTGCTCTCTCTTCAAGCTTCAAGGAAGAGGGCGACTGCAACCATCCTATGGAAAATCTGTTCGCTAGCGTCAAAGACGGGTGTTTACCATGCCCTTCGAATAAATTACTTCCCGATCAAACGAAAGATTTCTCAGGGCCAATATGCAAAAGCTGCAGTCATTCTTATTGAACAGTTCGCATTTTCAGGTAAATCCTTTCGAAATTGAAGAAGCGATTAAAGCCAACGTTGTTGGCGTGAAGGACTGTGCAGTAGTGGGCGTCGACCATGATGTGGATGGTCAACGTCCGAAAGCCTTTATTGTCGGCGAGCCTGATGTCAACGAAATCATCAATTTCGTCAAAGGTTCATCTTTCGAATCCTGCCTTCAAATTTGACTACACTAATTTACTCTCAAAAAAGCTGGTTAAATATTGAAAAACTAAAAATTATCTATCTTATATTAAACGGTTCGGATTCCATGTTCGAGATCTCTCACTTCTCTATCTCTCTAAGTCTCTCTTCATATGCCTACCATCTTTTTTGTGATGCATAATCGAAAACTCGATTTTTCGTAAACTCTCAGCGTGGGATAGACCAAAATTTTCTCTGCTCATAGCGTGTTTGAACGGAATGCTTTGATCAACGTTTTGCTAACGATCACCTTTACAAGAGACAAAATCCTTTGTGGTCATTTTCTCCGTCGTAACAATGGCTGCATTATTTCATGAGTTTTATGCATCAGTTGAAACTGAAATTTTTGCGATTAATATTCGAAAAAGACTAAAGTGATGTAGAGGCAAGTGGCGCACTATCGCACACGCATGGTCGCGGGTACGAATCACTGCACGGTACCCACCTGGAACAACCAAGGGTACAACCAAGGGTTCATCTTTCCCGGTCGATTAACAGGTCCAGACTCGTCTGGAAGGATAGAACCACTGATTTGAATATTGGCTGACCATCGCAAAGTATTGTGTAGGGCACATAGGCATCCCAAACGTCACTATGACCCTGAATTTGAGTCGAATGTGGGGGCTCATCCCTCAGACGGGATTGATCAGCGCCTGAAGACTTTTTTCCTTTTTATACTTTGTTGTTTGAAACTATGAAGATGAAAGCAGGTCCCTGGAGGTTTTAGGCCATGAAATTTTAATGTCAGTTTATGATTCAAAGCGCTCGACCTTGTCTATCATTTCTCCTTCTCCTATGTCTTTTCACTGTCTGCTTTTTCTCTGGAATGGCTAATTAATCAGTACATACTGCAGATACATTCACTTCTTACAAACACCTCTGTGGAGTGGAAATTGTGGATGCAATTCCGAGAACGCCATCCGGTAAAATTCTGCGCCGTGAACTTGTCAGCAGTATCGGATCCGGTGGATAACATGCAACCCTGTTGAATGCTGAGCTCAGTATTGTATTGAATGCGGTCTCATTGTTCTCTGATAGGTGCACGATTCCCTTATACAGTATCTAATAGAAACAAATGCCATCTATATTATGTCCATAATGTGGCTACATTCAATTGAGGTGTTCTTTTATCTAATGCCACTGAATTGCTTGTGGTCTCACATTTTTATTTATGGAAATAAATTTTTTCAAACTTAGATCTCTTCCTAAATAAAATCTATGAATCACGAACACGTTGTCTGCCCTTAAGGCCATCTCTTGAATAAAAAGCATGGAGAGGTTTTGGTTTCTGCTTGAATATACAAGAGGGGGCGTTGACCATTCCCTTCACCGAATGTTACTGGTAGTGGCATGGCCTCAAAAAAAATAAAAGTCCGCATAGCGAAATCTGTATCAAAATCTGTAGACATCTTATGATAGTCTGCTTTGTTCAAAGCGGAGTGGGTTCATTTCAATCAGATAAGTCGTTCGTTTTTCGATGACAAGCGAGGATCAAAGACCGAGTAATGCTCCAATCTTGGAAGACGAAGAGTCTACCAGCTCTTACTAAAGCTAGAACTTCATTCTTCAAAAAACCACCCGATATATCTCACTCAAGAGGCCCTCTTAACCCCTATTTAGGCAGTTTTTCCACCCGAGCGCTTCCCTCGTGCTATCCTCCGAGGTCAAAGACTTTCAAAAAAAAAAAAAAAAAAAAAAANTTTTTTTTGCCAATCAAGCAGTGACCAAGGTTGAAAAACTGAAAGGGCTAGAGTTCAAAGGTTCTTATCTTCGTTCTTACTCCTAGTAGACCTGTTTCCAAGTGCTCCATCTAGATTTCAAAGAGGGTTTCCCGTTCCGTCCATCAAATGTACCTAAACCATGTCCATCACGAAATTCCCGTATTCAGGATGATTCCATCCCTGAAGTACAGAAAAATAATGCGCTCCAGCGAGTTTTTCGCAACCGCTCGCGTTCAATACGCAGCCAGCCGTCTTCGTTTCGCTTCGTACCACCATGGATTTCTATTGGTGTGGTCCTAAATTTCTTTTAAGCTTACTAGTTTTCTTTCTTTTCGCGGTTATGGTTGTGTGTTTTATTACCAAACAGTGTTTGGGTGAGGGTAGGATTCTGAGGACAGTGATAGCCACCTCGTGCGCGTCTTTAATCTGTTTCGCAACTTTTATTAGGAATGTTTTCGGTTGAAACTTGGCGTTCTTGAGGTGTTTTTCAATTTATACAGGCCTTTTATTGTGCAGATCGCAATTAAAGCATTTATTTGGTGTTTTTATGTTCTGTATTATATTTTAGAAAGGACGTCTTAACCCTCGAATGTTTTCAGTACCGAGTTCATTGATGTAATGATCGGACATATTCCATACAAAAACTTGAAAGCAGTATTCACTAATGTGTCCGTTTAGAAATGGGTCGCCGACCGGCTAGGTGTTACCGGTACATAAAAAATAAGCCATATCCGAAATCACGTTTCTGTCGAGGAGTCCCCGACCCAAAGATTCGTATTTTCGACCTCGGCAAGAAGAAGGCTAGCGTTGATGAGTTCCCGTGCTGTGTGCACATGATGTCGAACGAACGAGAGCATCTTTCGTCTGAAGCTCTTGAAGCAGCTCGAATCTGTGCCAATAAGTACATGGTGAAGAATTGCGGAAAGGTGAGGTGAAAGTTTCGCCTGTGGTACTAGTTACCATCCACTTATAAAAATCTCTTTCAGGACAGTTTCCATCTTCGTGTGCGAAAACATCCATACCATGTCACCCGAATTAACAAAATGTTATCATGCGCTGGCGCTGATCGTTTGCAAACGGGTATGCGCGGAGCCTATGGAAAGCCTCAGGGTTTGGTAGCTCGTGTCGACATCGGAGATATCCTCTTCTCCATGCGCGTCAAGGAATCGGTAAGTTTCTTTAATTGCTGAGGCATTATTTATGATTGCTTTCATTTTATTCGAACTGTTAAATGCCTCTTTATTTTTAAATGTTTCTCATGTTCTCCACAAATTCTTTGTCTGGGTTCACTACTTAAATTCAGCTGCGCTTTCATGTAATAGAATGTTGGTGTTATGGTGAAAATTTGTTGGGGAAGGGGTTTCTTAGGTTCTCGACAGTTAAGCGGTGAAAATTCTTTGGGGAAGGGTTCCTAAGTTCTTGACGGCTAAGCGNGCGTAGGGGAGTATCACTTCAAGATTAAGCTCGGGCTGATACATTTAGGCTGGTTCGACTAGCCGATAGCTCGGTTCCGTTAGTTCACTAATCGGGGAAGGGATCTGCTGTGCTTACCAAAAGGATTCGTGGGAAACATTCTACATACATACGCGCGTCGAGTGGCTTGTGTATTGACTCTGGAATTCACAAAACTAAGCTGCTGTCTTGTATTGCTTAGCTCCATATTCCTTCCGAATGTCTCATTTGTCGCCTTTCTTGAATCTATTTTTGGACAAAATATAACTCTCTGAGAATACTTGTCAGTTATGAAAGAGTCTGTGAATGGCCTTGACATAAGTTTCCCATCCTCAATGATAGCAATTTTAGAACGTTAACCATGCCATCGAAGCTTTCCGTCGTGCCAAATTCAAGTTCCCTGGCCGACAGTTGATCGTCGTTTCGCGTAAATGGGGCTTCACTCGTTGGGACAAGGCTGACTACGAACGCATGCGCGCAGAAGGCCGTTTGCGATCTGATGGAGTTGGAGTCCAACTTGTACGTGAACATGGTCCTCTAGAAAAATGGGTGAACAACCCTATTTAACGCCACTTTGTTGTCGTTTGTTCTGGTTGATATAAATGATTATTTGTTATTGCTTTTCACCACACCGAAAGGGTCCTAAAAACACGCAGCTAGTAGAATAAATGAGCCATTTTTTGTAAGAAATCACTAGCTTCATCCCTGCCCAGCAGTCAAGGTTCCTTCAGGTTTATAGAATTAGGAAATAGCGTATTGTCCATGAATGACTCATGGTCGTTGCAGGGCAGTGTCACGCAATCGATGGATTCAGTTCTGGCAAAATCGGCCAATACTGACGCAGTTAGCATATTATGGGAGTTTCCTTATCAGCAGTCAATGAGTGTACCAATTCAAACATATGAAGTAATGGTTTATACTCCATAAATTAAGCAACATAGTCATGAGTTGGGCACTCCGCTCAATATTAAGGTGATTTTCAGGTAAAAAGAGTTATAAACGGAAAATAACGTCTAGCACATGGCACTATACGTCTCACGTAAAAGCATGTGAAGAAGTGACAGAAGATATGCAATACAAATAGTGGGCCAGGAAAACCTATGCGAATCGTACAGACTTGCACTAGCGAGAGATTAAAAGGTACCAAAATCACTCCATCTTATTGATTGCGGCTATCCTTTCTGGAACTGGTGGATGTGAGTGGTTGCACATTGAGTAAAGCGGATCATCGATAGGTGGGACAAGGTTATCCTGAAACATGAGCGTATAGTAACCTAGATAGTAATAAAAAAGTAAACACTGTCAAAAATGCAAACTCCTTACGGAACACAATGGCAATTTGAAAGGAATACCATACCTTGCACAATTTTGTAAGGGCGGTGATGAGTTTGTCACCATGTCCTAGTTTGGCAGCAAAAGCATCGGCGGCAAATTCACATCGACGAGAATGAATCGACATAAGCACTTCAGCCACCTGAAACGAGTTCTAGTAGCTGATGAAATACAATTATGACAAATTCAAGTGCCACGACCAACCTGGTTGTACAATCCCAGAACGAACTGTATCACCAAGATAAGCCCGACGAGAGTTGGTGTTGTGTAGAATCCAAATGCCTTGAATTTGAATTATTTTTCATTTCCAATCGAAGAAACTCATACAGAAGAGAGAACAGTGAGATTCTACCTCATAAAGCAGTTCCCATCGATAGAAATGAGCAAATACTGCAAGCATGAACAATATGTTCAACTCAGCAATGACAAGGTTGATAAGAGTGTGCCAAAGAGCCCAATGACCAAGTTCGTGTCCAAGTACCGCGACAACTTCGTCATTAGACATTCCTCTAGCCTAAACATTGGTTGGTATTGCCTAGTATTTGAGCTACTTGAAACAACAAAGGAAAGAAAGTGGAAAGCCTTCACTTACCTTGTCCTTGTCAGTCAAATCCGCTGCTGCTTCGGCACACTGCAGTATTACTTTCTCCTTTTCTTCCCCACTCAGGAGTGTATCGTACAACACTATTCTTTTATTATTCCAGAAACCATACATGTAGGCATTACTGTGTGCGGAACGTTTCGAACCTATTTAAAGCAAATAAGTATTCGAAAAAAGTACTGCAGTGAGGCGTAGTCCTATTTTCATCGTAGAGGTGATTTTCACAAAATCATCTCTACGAGTGAACAGAACTACGCCTCATTGCACTACGAAGTAAAGCCGTTAACGATAGTAAACACCTACCATAAACAACATACAACTTGGTCAGAGGGAATTTCAACGAGGCGGCAAGCTTCTCAATGGCAACCCAAAATAGAAGATTTTGACAAAGATCATGCTTCACACTGGTAGGTAAACAGAGGGAAGGATTTTGAGGAGACTAACCTTCAACTTTCCATCAGGGAGTGGTATATACTTGTCAAATAATGGCGCTATGAAAGCGGGATATATTGTCATTAAAAGGAGCAAAACAATAGAAACAAAGATCCACACATACACAAAGAAGTATGGGCCTGAAAGTGTATGTCTAACGAAGGTTGACTGAGAACTGACACAAAACTTCATGAATTTTCAAGCCAAAAAAAGTAATTTCAATAGCACAAACCTCCATGCTCAACTATCCATTCAACGACTAAGATCACCGGAGCCATAAGAATCATCGATACTGCCATCTTTTTCAACTATAAATGTAAATTTTATGAGATGGGAGACCAAATGTCAAAAGTCATGAGACTTACTTTATCCCAAAGGTAGAAACCGACAGTCTGTTTGTTGAATCCATGTTTCTCTTCGATTACAAAAGTGTCATACATATCCCATGGCAAGTCGATGATCGTATCCACTAGCGAGTTGACTAAGAGAAATATAAGAGATGGGAGTCTATAGGGGGAACACATGTACCATAACCACGGCAGCCAACCGAACACAAGAACCACCTGCAAAAAACCCATAACATTCTTTGATCTTCAATCCTCTGTCTGCATTCCAGGATACTATCATCCGGGCAAGTTAAAACTGATTCGAGTATGCAGTTGAATAAATATCAAAATAAAAACCATATTGGATCAAGAAAATGTGCTTACCGTAGTCCAAAGTTGTCCATATAAATCGTGTGCAAAACCGAATAAATGCTTGTCGAGCTTGTAATTGCGAGCCTTTTCATAATCCTGTAAAGCAGACATATAGAAATATAGAAAACAAATACGCAAAACAGTTCCACACCTACAGTAGAGCATAGCGAGTTGAGAATCTTTACTTTTTTATGGATCTCTCAACTCACTCCCTACCCCATATCATTCACGCAATGCGTTGGCCATTGTGACCTGCCAAAATAGTTCGAGCCTTCTCGATTTTAGTTTCAATGAATATGACTCATCTCGCTCAGAGAAAGATTATGAAAACATCTGAGAATGCAAAGTGCTACGGTAGCCAGACTGAACGACCATTTGTGATGATCGAATGACGAAAGACTTAAATCTCAAAGAGTATGTGGGGTATGAAAGTAGTTTTAGCTTACCTCTTCAGAGATCAGGTCTTCAACATGTTTTGGCCTTTTCTCGTTCACTAAATGCACTCTATACTGTCGATAATGAAGGTAATAGTTCCAGAGGAAAAGAACCCAATTGGTTCCCAGTAATAATTTAAATAGGCATGATGCCTCCATGCCTGGAACAACATCATTATAATATGGAAATCTGAAAATCTCATATCATTAAAGTTCTAAAGTCAAAAAAAATGGAAGTTTCAGATATCTCATCTCTGCGAGGATGATAAGGCAATCAGACGAACTTCAAATCCCATAGCCTGGCTTATTAGGTATTCGGTATGGACAACGGTGGATTCGAAGAACAAAATCGTGGTGATGGAATCAATTTATTAGACGTCAACAATCATGATCAACATGAAAAACGCACAGAATCTGTCAATTTTCTCAATCAACCAATGATCATACTCTTATTCGGAAATTGAGGCATAACAAATTATACAAAACCGGCATAGCTTTAAGGCACCAAGTGTCTTCATTGTTAAGGTATTGATTAAATGATATCCCAAGAGATTCGAGGAATTCAAACTGTATATTATTTGCACAATCAATGACTGTGTTAGTACTGAACCACGTTATTTCTACAATTAAGCACTAATAAACACATAAATCTTGAACAACTCGTGAATATTTACAACATAGTACAAACTCAGCTGAAACTAGAAATCCGAAAGCTATAAATCAGAAATGCAGTTATGTAGGAAAACTATGAGCAATCTTTCTCGAAAATTCCATCTCTGAATGAAGGCAGATAAAAAAGTCCCAAGGAAAACCACTTAACTGTAAAGTGACGACATATCTCCTTTAACCTACCACTGGTGTTTCGAAACGGTATCAGAATAGATATACCCAGGCAGCTGATTCACAGAGAAACAATATGAATCTCAAAAAGGAATTGAGTCAGCGGCAAGTATTTGAATAGGGTTTCCCGAGAAAAAGGACGACCACTTTAGTTCACGATTCATGTGAAGAGCAATTAAATGCTGATAACCCGGTCTCAGGCCGGAAGTCACTTGACGATGCATCAAGGTATCAAAGATCAGTGACATAATTTGAACAAAATATGCATTTGCGTGCAAAGATGGGATGAATCAATCACAAAAAGTAGTTGGAGAAAAGTTTCCGACTAAAAAACGTTCGAAATTTTTAGGGAGCCAAAGAACAAATAGGGTCGATCTTTCGAGAACGTTGAACGAAACTATTTCAGGATATACACACTTCTTCAAAACGATGAGACAAAAGCAACAAAAATCGGAACCGCTGGGAGCAAACGGGGTGTTACTCATCATTCATTGAAAATTCTGAGGAAATTAAACTGAAACAGCGGTTACCAATTTCGGTCACTCTAAGCAAGCAGAAGTCCTACAATAGGATGTACATTTCATGAAATTTTCGAGAAGGAACACGTCTGTCCTATAATACCAATCTGACCCATCAAAATCTTGAACACCTAGAAGCAGGAACACTACCTACTGCTGCTGTTACAGCCACTGCTTCCGCTACTATAACTAACACTACCGTGATTGTCGATATTATCGCCTTGATTACTCGTTTTCCAACTTAAAGGCTTGTTTTCTCCGTCATTGTCATCTTGAACAATGAGTGAAGGGATAACAGAGTCCGCATCCACCTTAAAAATCATATAGAAGCTGCGTAAGAAGGAAATTTATCCAAAAATGAGCCAGCATACGGAAAAAGATCTTTTTAGCACAAAAAAAATCAACCACTTTAAAAACAGTCTATCACCAAGTGCCTAAAAAACAGGAGACTCACGTGAACATCCGCAAATGGATCATTGAGCAACTGTTCAGCGGATTTCCTATCATCAGGATTGAATACGAAGCATGAATCCAAAAAGTGCTTCAATATCCATCGTATGGGATTAGGATAAGCTGGGAGGACTCCTTGACCAACCTANAAAGAACAAATAGGGTCGATCTTTCGAGTACGTTGAACGAAACTATTTCAGGATATATACACTTCTTCAAAACGATGAGACAAAAGCAACAAAATTCGGAACCGCTGGGAGCAAACGGGGTGTTACTCATCATTCATTGAAAATTCTGAGGAAATTAAACTGAAACAGCGGTTACCAATTTCGGTCACTCTAAGCAAGCAGAAGTCCTACAATAGGATGTACNAAAAAAATCAACCACTTTAAAAACAGTCTATCACCAAGTGCCTAAAAAACAGGAGACTCACGTGAACATCCGCAAATGGATCATTGAGCAACTGTTCAGCGGATTTCCTATCATCAGGATTGAATACGAAGCATGAATCCAAAAAGTGCTTCAATATCCATCGTATGGGATTAGGATAAGCTGGGAGGACTCCTTGACCAACCTAAGGATAGTGAAGTTGAGCTACCCATAAGCGTCGACAAGACCAGTAATTCACGAACTTAGGCAACTAGAGCTAATCCCCGGAGTTCCTACTCACCTTCATCGCGATTTGGAATGCATGCATTTCTGGCCATGGTCGCCGACCGGTGCTCTGAAAAAGTTTGTTCTTATCACGTTAACGATAAGTAGAGAAATCCAACTCAAAAATCCGATTTATTATAAAGCTACAGCATGCTTCTCTCCTAAAACGTGAGTGCTAAACGACAACAGTTCAACTCGCTGGAATACCCACTGCGTCAACTGCCATTAAACCAATGATCAAAATGTATAAAAAAAAAGTCAAATACTAGAACGAACCATCTCTAGTACAACACAACCAATACTCCAAATATCGACAGCTCTGCCATATCCTCGATACTTTCCGTCTTCTGCCATACCACCATAAGTTAGTACTTCTGGCGCCTAAAAATCCTCAAAGTTACTTGTGTAGAAACACCTCAATTTTTATAAAAAAAAACGAGAGAACAAGACAACGAAGAATTTGATGAAATGTGTGACTGATAAGAAATGTTTTTGTTTTCTTGCAAATCTCTAAACGCAAAACCAAACAGTCAAAACACAGTTATCAAGTTGATATGACTTTATACAAGACTACATCTACATTACTTTTATTGTTTCGGAAGAACAAAATCGATATGAAAACTCCTAGGGCCGAAATCTTTGTCACAAACCATGTATTGCACAGTCCCTGCATATTCAGCAATTTCTCCATAAACTGTTGCTTGATCGCGAAGGCGCACAGAACATCCGAAATCACCAAGTTTCAGTACGCAGTGAAGATCCAAGAAAATATTGGCCGGCTTTATGTCACGATGGACTACCTAGAATCAACCATCTTCACCTGGTACCAACTGCAGGCCAAATACAATTGTCAGACTTTTTGACTGTGCATATATGCAACTGCTCGTAGCAAGCTGTTGGTATAGCGCCTGACCAACTCCTCATCTAGGCCTTCACGGCAGATCTTCTCCAGTGTGCCTTCTGAGCAGTACTCCATCATAATCAACACCTCATCCTTAAAAGGCTAGATTACCAAAGAGCAGATTTATGCCTGAGGAACCAAGAAACATGCAAATGAATAGAAAAGCCTACTGCAAAAAATGCGCACCTGGCGAACTTCGCATCCGTAGTATTTTACTAGGTTCTTATGGCTGAGATTACGAAATATATCCACTTCTCCTTTGAGAATCTGGAAATAAATTGTAGAAACTGGGGAACGAGGAAAAGTGCATAATTTCAGTATATGGATATTAACCTTTAAAACATCTCTCCTAACACGTATTTCCTTCACTGCTATCACACACTGAGCATCCACATTGAGAGCTTTGTAGACGGTTCCAAAAGTACCCCCAGCTATGAAAAAATTGTGATTGAAATCGTGACCAGATATAATGAGGGCTACGAACAAACAGCTCGTAAGATTATTTGATTTCGTTGATTTCATTAGTATCAAACCTACCTAGCTTCTCCAAGATCTGATACTTGAACGGAGCAGTCCTCGAAGGATCAGTATAGTTCTCTATTTTGAAGTCCTCTCGTTTCAAGGTTATCACTCGCCCCATACGAAAGACGGACTGCAATATTTTTTGAACTTACGAAAATCATATAAAGAAAAATGAATTGAAACTTTTTTGTGAAAGGTGCGTTCCAGAAATTACTATAAAGAAAGTTTCAAGCAGGAATGCAACCAGTGTGGGATGGCCCTAACCAAAAACCGACCAAGTTGGACCCGGTGAAATCACATGCATTTTCAGTTTTGGATTTCCTAGCCCCATGTATAGTTATAAGCTCTTAACCTACCCTTTTCGCAACTTTCTTATCCGTTTCAAGTGCAGCCGCTTCAAGCCTTGCCCGACGAGACTCAAGGGATACTTTTTTCATCTTTGACGAAATCTCATCAGAAGTTTTTCTTGAACTCATGGTGGAGCTCCGACTCCTAGGGGTCACCGTAATAGCGTCTTTATCACCAAGTACCAGCCGTTTGCACTCTTCAACATCAGCTTTCAGAACCTGAATTGGTATTTAAGTACTATCTGAAGGAAAGCTATGTAATAATAAAATAGACGTACTTGAAATTGACAGTCTAAAAGGTATTCCGTGTATTTGGGGTCAGTAAGAAAGTGAATAAAGTTGAACGCATGACTAGCCCAAAGCGGAATATGAGGAGAAGGCTGTGGTTTCATAACAGCTATCTGAAACATTCAATTGCGCTGGTAAGGTCTACCTCTACGATATGAGAGGATGAGCGCACCAGTTCCTTCCACTGATGAATGACGTCAAGACCTTGTGATACAAGCTGCTTACCGAAATCCGCCAAATACGAATCACCCACGTATCGGCAAACTTCACGATGAAGCTAAAACAGTGAACTGATGGAGAAAAACGCCAATGAAATGCTAAACAAAAAGTAAGCAATTAGATACTGTATCAAGAGAAAAAGCGGTGAGGAAAGGGAAGAACAGCCCACTTGGAAAGCGAAATTGAATGCTTGAATTAGGGTCCAGTAAACTGAATCACGCATCTTTATAGAATCGTATGTTCGTCGAACATCGATGCATAGTATCGATATTCCGCAAGAGAAAATATCAGTCAGCTCTAAGAAAGCTTCCTGAAAAAAACGAGTGAGTTAAAAAAAAAGATTCGATTTTTCAACAACTCGAAGAACAAAACAGAACGAATACATGCTTCTCACCGCCAATTTCTTTAGCTCGCGATCAACGTTATAGTGCGATGAGCAGGAAGTTAGCACCAACTCGAACATTCCGGGGTATCGTTTCTCCAGCTTACAATCCATACCAACAGCACACACTACATCAGTCTAAAATCACTTCAATAGAGAACAGCAACTGCATGATAATGCATAACGCTATGAAAGCGAAGCACTAAATAGAGAACACTATTCAACAATAAGGTCACCAACTACTTTCCTAACCAGGAAGGTCTGAAAAGTGAGTGATGGTTATGATCGAGCAAGAAAAAGAGAAAATAAAGTCCCGCAACATTATTGTTTTTCGAAACTGATAAAACTAACTCTCAAATAATGAATATTTTCCATGACATTCTCCTCAAGAGTAAGTTTCACCCGCCGATAATTCCACAGCCATCTGAAATCAGTCATAAACCGAGCACCCATTGGGAAAAACACACACGACACTTTGTGTTACGAAGCAAACATGTATTACTGTAAGGTATCTACCACTAACCTGAGCTCCTGCTTCGGAAAAACGATGATGCGTCCATAATCAGGTTTCCGCCCCTCAGCAAGTGCAGTAACTAAATCTTGGGCCAGAGCCTTATCAGCACTTGCTGAGTCGATCAGTACGCAAACTGCTACTGCCTCTTCGCCAAAATCAACCTGTAATGATAGAGGAAAGTGCTTAGGCGCTGTTACTAGAGCTAAAGTTATAAACAAACCAAGCAATAATCAGGTCGGAGAGCTGCGAGAACATCTTCCAAAGGTTGGGTCATGACATAGCCCGAAGCGTCGTGAAGATCTGACAAAGCACCACGAAGCAGACAAACGATTCTGGCAGAGCGCTCCTTCACCTTAAATAATACATTGAATTGAGTTAGCACTCCACTACGTTATGTCCTGTGAAAAGTTCTCGTCACCTCACCTCCCTAATCACGCTATTGTACGCTCGGAAAGCACTGAACACATTCGTCTGCTCACGAGTTTGGCTACAAATGAAAAAGAAATTATAATGTACACTATGGAAGGGACTAAACCTCTGTAAATGCAGGTTGACGCAAACCTGTCGTAGCCATTATCAGTATCATCAAAGCTCCTGTCGTCTTCCGGCTCACGAATTCCATGTTTCTCCGAGATATTTNTGAATTGAGTTAGCACTCCACTACGTTATGTCCTGTGAAGTTCTCGTCACCTCACCTCCCTAATCACGCTATTGTACGCTCGGAAAGCACTGAACACATTCGTCTGCTCACGAGTTTGGCTACAAATGAAAAAGAAATTATAATGTACACTATGGAAGAGACTAAACCTCTGTAAATGCAGGTTGACGCAGACCTGTCGTAGCCATTATCAGTATCATCAAAGCTCCTATCGTCTTCCGGCTCACGAATTCCATGTTTCTCCGAGATATTTTCCATGCTGGTTTCCCAAAATTTTACCACAAGCTCATTAAGCAAATGAGGAAAATACGTGCTAAAAAGATAAATACATTCGAGACCAGTTTTAATGACTGATATTTGAATATCACTCAAAGCAGTCTATCATCTAGCACTGAGCAAAGTTTGCTAATTTGCAATCAGAAAATATCTGTCGTACCAAAACGAAGTGGCGAGCATGTCGAGACCAGAGTGAATATGAAGTGAACACTGGAATGCTGTGCGCCATTCTTCCTCCAATCTAGAGAATAGCCTTCCGAGATCACCACTCTGAGCTGTCGAATCACACCATCGCTCGACATAGCCGAGGTATTTCTAGAAAATCGAACAAATAAAAACTGGAGATTATTTAGGGCTGTTTAGAAAAGGGCAAAATAGGTAACGCAAGTTCGAATTCATTCGAAGCCACGAAAAGCAAACCTCAAAAACATCCTTGAGTGTGTTTTCAAAATCAGCTGTACACAGTTTTCCTTTTCTTCCTTTCGGGCAGATAGACTGGATAACGTCGAGAAAAAACAACTTCGCACTGAAAAAGAAACATGAACTAAGCAATATAATCGGACATAACTTTAAAGGTTATTCACCGCACAGCCTCATCAACACAATCTCTGCAATCTTCAATCAACGTTTCCATAGTGAGGATGTCCATCTCTGCACCTTCTGGTATTTTCCACTTTGATCTGCAAAACAGTTATGGAAAAAGGAATTCAAAAGAGACCTGAATCACTTAAAGGTAACAAACCTAACACTCAGCCATTCTCGAGCTAACTCTAATCGAACTCCAAGAACAAATATAAACATAGGTCCGACCGAAGGCAAGCGAACTGCTTTGGCCTTTTCGCTCGTAAGAGTGTAGTTAAACATTTCATTATAACGCTCCATCTGCAAAACAAACTATTGGAAACTTCGGTAAGCTCGTTAATTATTGGATCGAAACAAAGAATAAACCGTAGCATTACATACGAACCTGAACTGACGTCAATCGCAACATCGTTCGTTGTCGAGAGGCCGCATGTGCATAGCTAGCAATGGGTGGCTGAAGAAGAATAGCGGTTTTCATGATTGTTCGTTCGCACAGCTCCCAGACTCGAGCAACCACTCGTTTCATGCCCTACAAAAAAGACAGTATTACCATATTTTAAAGTTACGAAAAATATGTAAGATTTTCACGCAACGTGTGACTCTCTCACGATAGATGAGAAGACGAGAAACCTCTAAAAAGTAAATTCATGTCCCGTAAGAGAATCAATTAAACTGTTCGACCGCTGGGGATGACAAGCTTTAGTTAGGAGATACCTTATCTGAAGAACAAAGGCAAAAATGTTCAAAACTGGTCGATCCAGGAAGCATATTACAAAGCCTATATCCAAGGTAAAACGGTGATGGAAGGAATGGGGAAGAAATTTTAATTCAATTATGTGGGTGCAAAGAGAGCTCGTCACTGGAATGAGCCACTATCTGAGAACTGATAAATGAAGCGTACCCTGAGAAGGAGACTCCGCTTGACAAAAGCCTCAAACACCGGTCGTGCATCACGCAGCCCAACGGTGGAAGAGGAGCTGTGCAGCGGTCGAGGCCAATGTTTCTCACCATCAGGAACACGGCTTACTTCGAATACAGTACCAAGCTGAAAAGAACACGGCTTACTCGTATACAGTACTAAGCTACAAGAAAGGTGATAATGAAGCGAATAAACAGTAGGTTTTAGAATCTCAATATACCTGAGCAATTTTCGATGCAAGGTCCTCTACAGTGTTCAGCCAGGTAGTCAGCAATGTGACCCTTTCGAGTAATTGCTTTGTGAATGCCGCTCCCTTCCTTTTGCAGCAATCTTCTTCCATTGCTTTCGAGTGAGGGAACAGTGCCTGGTACTTTTCGAACTCTGTTAGCAACTCATTCACTGAAATACTACTTGTTCGAAATTGGGGCTACCAAAACCGCCTCTAAAATCACATTGGCACGAACTCACAGAAGCTTACCTTCTTTCCTCGTCGCTCTCAGATGAGACATGTAATTTGTTTCCAGGCGTTCTAATCCCTCCACTACCGGAATGGCTGTATAGCGCACTACTTTCTCCAGAATCTCGTTTCGTTCTTCTCGTTTGGCACAAACCAAAGCATCCATTTCGAATGCTGCGTCCTGCTCTCCAGAAACTTCCCTTAATCGAATATTTCAGCCTATGGTAAATACATAAGAAAGTAGAAAGGGCTGAAAAATAAAAACATCAGTCGGATTCGAACAAAAGTTCGTTCTCACCCAAAAATAATGACACGAGGCAAAAAAAAAAATGAGGAGCCCACCTCCCACTGAAGTATGCCCGCAATATCAACCACAAAACATCTCCATATCGATGCTGCTCTTTTTTCGAGCCAATCGTGAACGTCTGAAGAAAAAACATATCTTCTTCTCAGAAAGTTGAGATTTCCAGCAATTAATCACCTGGTCTGTCCTACCCGGCGAGTTAGCCATGGTGAGTTTCGACGACATATAGCGATCGGCACAAAGGAAGTTGTCAAGATCACGAAAGAGGTTATTTCTAAACAAGTTACAAAAAACAAATGAAAATGTTCCACTCTATTGATATTCTCAAGCGGTATTCCATGTAAGCGCCTCAAAGCCATCACCAGAAAAATTGAGATTGAAAAAAGGGTTGCCCAGAAGTTGCCCAATTTCGTTATTATCGTTAGGAACCTGTAGAGCTTGAATAAGCGCACCCTTACCTCTCATCCTCGGCAACATCAGGAAAAACATCTGAGCCGGAGCCGTTCAATTTTGTACAATCAGCTGTTGAACTTGAACTCGAAGACGCACGTTCGATAACAGCAAGGCAGCGGAATGCAGGCGAAGAACCAGGGCGCTGAGTCTGGACAGAAAAAAACTTCAAAACAAAAATAAATTTGGACGGAGAGGAGAAGTGAAGTAAGAAAACCTACCGATGATTGACTGCCGCTCAGGTAATAGTCATCGTCATCATCGTCTGCATGTAAATACGAGTAGTCGTTTCGAGTCTTTCGGCGGTTAACTAAAATGAGACATGTAGTGATTTTCGCAGAACGCAGACATCGACGGTGAAGACCCACTTCGCCCTGCAACCGCTCCAACTCGACCAAGGCTCAATCGACCTCGGTATACTTTCTGCGAGGGAACCTTGCTGGACTTCCTTAAATCAGAAGAAAGACTAAGCGGGAGTAGAACCAAGGCGAGATTGTTCAAAAACTCTATAGACCTGTGTGCCGGCGTCCCGATATCGCCTATAAGTGAAAGGCTACGACATCGCTTGATGGAATGCGGTTGAGGTGGATCACTCATTTTGCATTATATTCCAATCACAGATTTACCGCTGTTCATCTAACGCATAATATCTGGAACAAAAACAGTAGGATAGTCAGAGAAGATCCCGAAGGTTCTTAAGAAGTTTATCGTTTCCGCGACCACTAAAGACCTAGCAATCATAAGGTGAAGTGCTCGCAGAACTTCACAAATCCCTTCATAGGAAAAAAGGCAACATTTAAACGACACAAGTTGTCCATCTGCAAATCAACAAACGGATCAAGGCAAAGAAAAACGTTTAAAAATCGCTCGGAGAAAAAGGATAAGAAAGGAACTATTCAAAAACGCATATCAAGACGGGCTGCACCAAAAGCCCCATTAGCAACAGTAGCACCATACAATGGGTTTCCACGAACAATAATAAGATCGGAACTGTTGAACTGAGAAGGAAAAATATTGCAGCTGGAGAGGTGGAGGGAAAAATGCCTACACCTGAAGCTTTGATCAATGCATAGACTTCAAGGCTGTAGCAGCCACAAAAGGACTAACATTCTGAATTGAATTTCCGAATAACAGTCAATTCGTGGGCTTGCGTTACAAATAATGAGCGATGAACCTATGCTCTAATTGTTAGTCGTTAATACGGAAATCCGAGTCGTCGGAAATTATTGATTTTTAATCGACATGCGCAACAGCAACTACGGAACACTGTAAAAAACCGAGAACTTCTTGAAATTGAATGGGAGATCAACATCCACTTTTTGAATAAATTCAAATCTCAAGAAAAAAGTTTATGAGACCGGAAGCATATATGCACATAATCACATTTCACGAAAATAAATTACACCCGAAAATGATATAGAAGGGAATAACAGCAAGCAGATAGAGCATTCTTTGCTACACTTACGAACTAGAAAGACGAAAAAAATATTTCAAATCTATTCGGTCTTTTCTTCACAAATTTGCCGGAGCCGAGTTGGATGAACCAACTCGGGAGCGACACACCTTTTCAGTGCAGAGGAAAGAGCTTGATCGACCATTGAATTGACCGTGACTTCATCAGCAACCAACGGCGACACTCCTCGTTGTAGATAGTAGCAATCCACCTGAACATGGAATTCTTCAGTAGATTTTGAATACATCAAGCAAAACTCTTCTCTTCCTCACTTGTATCTGCTCCACTGCATATTTCCCGTAAGTCTGCTGCCGTATTGATTCTATAAACGACTTCAGTAAGACTTTCACGATCGCTCCTATTATGGAAGCTCTGTTGAACTAAAAAAACACAACGTTATGCCTTGTTATTGAAATGATAAGCAACGAAATAATAAGCATACATGTAATTGTTGATTAAAGTCGATGCGTTCACACCATAACGAGTCTCGTGAGGAATCAGTAGCAGATGGTGCTGGCGTCGTCCGACGATGGCGATTTTCCTTTCGACCCGTTTCACCTCCAAGCAGTCGAGAAAGCATTGAGTCACACTCTAGAACTTCTTCAACGGCACGCCGGACAGCAGATCTAAACTTTTTAAAGCTTGTTTTCTACAAGTGACACGGAGATTTGGCTCTTGAGTGCAGATGACGGCTGATAAAACAAATAATCGCAAAACTCGACTAATGAGAGTTAATCCAAAGTCGCAGGATGGCATTGTGCACACAGAAAAGCAGGGACTTGACACAATTCGTACAAGTATTGAACGCAGCAATTACAGTGAGAGATAAAGTTGTTAGAAAATGTGAATTTTTACTACTATATATTAGATGAAATAAAAATGGGTTAGATACACTCTAGCCTTATCGCAGTTATTACGTCTAGCCTTACGGGTACAAAGGTTGAGAAGTTTGATAAAGAATTCAGATAAGGCTTCAATTTACTTCTTCCGAAAGAAATAACAGATTGAACTTTCTAATTACTTGTCACAAAACGCAAATACGAAAACATTAGGATGCTGAAAAAAAAAACATGATTGCGCCCACCTAACTCCTGCAGGAGACGCAGCAGGTTGTCGAAGTCCCTCACAACCTTTGACGAGTGCTTCTCCAAGTTCAAGTCCACGAAGTTTGGCAAAGCGCCGCAAAAGGGCTTGGGAGCAAGTTTTCAGCATCGTCGTCACATCGGTCACTCCTAAACATCAAACAGCATAGAAGTCGGAAGCGTCGACAGCAAAATGTGAACATTTGATAGTGTTAAATAATTGAGAATTCATCGAAATACAGAAAGAATTCTAATGCAAAGACCATGAAAACGAAATGGGAGACACTTACCAGTTAATCCCACACTTGTCTTCGACGTCGTTAGGGAAAATTGTTCTCTACAAAGACTCAAGAGGTACTGCGATGACTTATTCGCCAAATGATGCAGTGTAAACGCTATTAATAACATCATTAACGGATTTGCGTAGCGAGTTTCACCTTCCGAAGAGCCTGTAACACATCTCACTGTGACGCAATTATTACGAAAAAAAATTTAAGATCGCGAAGAACTTCGTGGAAAAACCAACCATAAGTCTCAGCAATAGCCGTAACATCTTTGAAAGCTCCTATAACTATCTCTTCGTGCACGCTTCGAGCAAATTCAGCTTGAAACTCGGATGGCGGTAACGAGGAAAACGTAACATCGCTAGCGATGAATAATAGCAAGTTGGCTAGAGCTGTCTAAAGTGTATGCATTAAGCAGTCAAAACTCGCAATATTAAACAATAAGTGAGAGGTGGGCGTCAGAGCGGCAAACACTTTGCCTATGAGCTATACACACAATGCCATGGGAAAGTAGAAAGCGCTATCAAACAGTTCATTGATTGCGAAAATAAAATGCAGTGCTCAAGAGATCCGACCATTCGTATGATTCAGCTGCAAACGCAAACAAGGCTCTACCTTTACTTCATTTTGACGGTTGGGTAGTAATGTGAACTACTACCTAACGTTTCTTATACCACGATTATACATCCTATATTATCCAGCGATTCACCGTATAGAAAAACCTTTTTTAGGTACATCTATCAGATCATTCGACAAACCAAAACATTAGTGCGACCAAAAGCATGAATATCATTTTGTTTCCGAAAAAACAGAGGAATCTCCATTGCACGACCTCTGTAAGATAGGAGCGGGACTCCTACATCAACTAACTACTACCTGGTCCTGCTAAAAACATACCAGAGGAAACAAAACTAAATGACTCATCGTACCCACCTTCACTTGAAAAACGAATGCCTGTTCAAGTTTTGCTGCCAATGCGGGAAGATCAATATCTTTGGCCATTAGAGTTTGGCGGATCTACAAACGCTTGAAGTTCATCGAAAAAAACCTCGCAGAAACCCTTCAAAGATGTACCTCTTGAAGAACTACTTTCATTTCTTCGGAGATGTACTTCCGAGAAATAACAACTTCATGTTTGGACACATCCCGTATCAATGATATAGTGCAAGTAGAACAATCCAAACCTTGAATTGTCACAGCGAATGTTATAGAAGTAGTGAGAAAACTTTCTATATTAGCCCTTCGAGAAATCAGAAAATATGCGGTGGGTGGTGTGAAGGATGGACAGTTAGTCCAAAAAAATTGGATCGAGTGAACAGAAGTTTACCTTGAACCACTTGTTTACACGTGGACATTTTCCTATAATATCTATCAAGAGCACGGACCACTATGGAGCAATCCTTAGGATCAGATGTTGCAAGAAACAAAGTGGATACAATCTCGTGAAAATCAGCAAGCTGGATCTACAAAAAAACAAACGAGTGTGCGACAAGTCGATTCGATTTTGAGCTTTACTTTTACAAAACAATTCAAATGAAAAAGTAAAGACAGTTAAAGTAAACAACAAACCTTCAACATTTCAAGCAGAAGATCGGAATTGTTTGGGAAAAGACGCTCGTGGAGATTAGCAAGTAATGTGAGATTCGGAATGAACGACTCACATCCTCTGCAAACGGAAAGATACAGAATTCAAAGGCAGGGAGAAGAAAAAGGCTGCATGAAAACAACCAACTTGTCAACTAGATCCAAGACATCCACAGGATTGCTTTGAAGCTGCTTCAAGTCGTTGCGAAGCGAGGCCTCAGAAGATTTCAGTAACAACTCTTGAAGCTGGAAAAGTTGCAAATCAAAAGATATTTCAAAATTAGATCTCAATCAACAACCTCTTCTGAAGTCTTTCCCAATTTCAGAAGCAATCCTGTCGCTTCGGCAACACCTTCAACATCTTCTGTGGAATTGCTTATCAACCTTATTAGCTGCAAAAATAACAAATTCTTTTGAGAAAAATGAGTAGAAATTACTTAAAGCCACCTGTTTTTCTGTTTCTGAAATTATCTTGTCCGTTTTCCTTTGGATTTCAGCTATATTCTTTATATCGGAATACTTGCTCAGACCTTTTTGCGCTAATAAATAGACTCGCACGACATCGCTATACTTGCCTTCATCGAAGGATGCCTGAATCAGTACGTTCTTAATACATTACAGATGGCATTTCAAATTTTCCATCTAAGCTAATTGAAAATTTGCAATGAGAAAAAACATTCTCACTTTTTAAATACTACAACTTTACAGTTCAAGCCCTTGAAAAAGCAGTACAAATTGAGAGACGAAATAAGAAAAGAGAGAAGAACTTTAGCTTGGACTGTTCCTGTTCGCTGGTGAAAGGGCTCATTATGCTGAACATTGATCGAGATAGTAATTTCTCAGATATGTTCGCTGAATTCATTTCATTCATTCTCAATACCTCCTTCTAGTTTGACTTTCCCCAAACCAAGTACTTTCCTTAATATCTCCGCACGTTTGACGCCTTCCATGTATCCTTTCAAGGTGAAAACACCACACTTTACGTAAGATGCAAACAAACAAACCTGTAAAATGTTAGGTAGTTCAAAGATCGACTGCAAACTTTTCACGACTTTGTATGAGCTTCCCAATTGAGCTACACCTTCTCGTCCTCCTCCGAGAACACCACTCAACTCGCCAATCAAACTAGATATGTTCTTCATGTTTCTGCTTAGGGACTCCATTTCCTAAAGCGCATGTGTCGTTAACAATAATTTTCATGAAAATTTCAGACAAAGCAATTCAATTGTAGAGTGGCAGACTTACACTATCAAGGAGATTGAACTCGTCCTGGATCTTTCTTACAGTACTGGTCGCCGTTAAAAATTTATTGTAGTTTTCGTAAACTAGCTGATGAACATCGGAGTCCAAGCGCCGAACCTGTAATGAGAGTTTTTAGATATGGGCAGCAGAAGACTAAAAGACATGAGACGTACCGAGGACACCATCTCCTCTTCTTCCTTCACAAGTTCATCGAGATTTTTTTCTTTAAGCTGAGAGCTCAAGTACGCATCAACATCAAAATCCGGTGATGTGACATCCAAAACACCAACTTTCTGAGACATTTGGCTTGGATGCTATGTTTGAATGACTTTTAAGGCAGAATAGTTTGAAAGCACAGCAGATAAATGACCATTACTAGTCTATAGTACTCCCAAATAGACAGATGATGTAAGGTAATTGAATTTTTTCGGAAAATTTCGAAGAAGCTGAACAATTCTGCAGTGCACTAAGCGCACCTTGAATGTCGTCATGTCTGAGATGATGGGAACGGGTTTCCTTACATATGGGAACTTCTGGTGAGTTTCGGAAGGAGTAATTTTGTTTGATAGTTCTTCTAGTAATACCAAGCTAGTCATTCTAAGTGCTAGCGCAAAATCTAGAGGGAAAGCGCCTTTCTCCCGTACCATGTGCCTTATTAAATTATCGTGGTTTCTGTGGATTACGAATCTACCCATTTAAAAGTTTAACCGTTTCCGAATGGAACTCGAACTTGTTGCATGTCCTAGAAGGAAGTGGTCACCGATCATCTCTCTGTGCAGTCTCCTTCTAACCTTTCCTATGGGAGGCTTGGTCGAATTTGTTCATTTTGGTGAAGGTCCTTTATGAGATTAAAAACCAATGCTCCTTAGAGACATCGTTTTTTCTCATTTGAAATGTCATCATTAGGGGATCCAACTGAATATGATCCGGTGGAGGAAGCGCTATGTTTCTTAATCCGATTTTCTCTATTTCCCCCTCCACACCTTTTCTTTAGTGAACAATTTTATGGTCGTCCCAATTGAACCTTTTGAAAAGCCTCTCCCTTCTTTTTCAATATTCCTTGTAGATCATCAATACCTCGAAAGTCCCTTATCTACCGAAAAGAACTGATTGGAAGAATACCCCGGGTTGATCATTCCTCTATTATCCCTTTCTCTCACATACGAGTTAGCACCGATTTGATGAAAGAAGACAGAAGCGTATTCGGGCGCCAATGCGGCCCATGTCTGTTCGAAGATTCCCGCCCCTTCCCGCCCGATTGTCCGCCTCTTTTATGTCAATCACGCGGGACCTCCCATTTGGCTTCCTTATGGGGTTTTGAACTTGTTTTCAATGGTTTCCTTGCATACAAATAGTTTCGCTTATTACATCTCTCTCTGGGACCTGCTTTGGAGGGATTGGACCTGCTTCTTGGGGTTTTCTTTGGAGTGGTTTGATTCTCTTGGGTCCTGCTTATTTCGTGACAAATCTTTGTTGTCAGTAATCCGCTTGGGTTTTTTGGATATTTCCCCAGAGGCTGAGAGACTTTCATAAAGCTAATTTTTGTGTTTGTTCTTTCATCAGAGTTTACTTTGTTCTTTTGGTATTGTTCCTTAGGACTACAAGGAATATTCATTTGATTGAACCACCCTGTTCAGGGAGGGCTACAGCAGTTGCTTCCGGTTCAATGGATGAAGCTGTCGTCGAAGAAGCACTTGCAGAAGAGCACGAACTCAAACATCTTGAGGTTGTCTTATTTCGGTCTTTACTTGCGCACATATTCCACGGAATTAGTCTTGTTGTGGAATTTAGTTGAGGACAGAGTAGGCTGCGTAGGATTTAATGGATTGCTATAACTCCTTTTTTTTAAATTCCTGTCTATATAGCTAAAATCCTATGAGCAATCAAANTAAAACTTCACGGCTGGAAGGCTCGGCACTATCTCGGCTTCAGTATTGGGCGAGATCGTGTCATCCTTCCTATGTTGATCTACTGTGAAGGAACTCCAACAGGTTAATTCGATCTTTCAAGGTGTCCAATTCAGCAGAAGTACAAGCTGACGATGAAATACTGGAGTATCCACATGAGGTTTGTGATCATATTAGGTTAATCCTTTTGAGATAGTGTAAGCGGTATTTCAAGATTCCACCACCTGACGATGGTTTTCTTCATGTGTGTGCGGCGATTGATCCCGAAATGTCTGACGAACTGAAGGACAACGTTTGGGCACAAGTGTGTTTAATGATTGAGAAGGTTGATTTAGACGTAAGTTTACCAATCTCAGACTATCTTTCTTTATCAAGCTTCTTCGTCCATTGCTTTGTGAACCATCCCTGTATGCTTTGTTCATTCCCAAGTTATTTACTACTGAATCAGCTTTGTGATCACATATTCCCCGGTATGAATAATAAAGAATAAGTGGGAGTTCCTCAGATTTTGTTTATTTCCTACTACATTCCTACTGCTGGATAGCCAAAATTCATGCCAACATTTTAGGATGAAACAGTCGCTTATGTTGCATGCGCTTTCTATTGTGTGATGCTTGAGTTGGAAAAGTTCCAACAGCGACCATTTTCTTATTCCATATTTTCAATTTTGAAAATATGTGGTGTCAGGTAAGTTTCAAAGATGAAGAAATCTGGTGCCCTAATTCATGTGTATGATTTTAGTGTGATAGAGTTTTTTGACAAACTGAGCCGATGGATAGAAATTGCTACTTCATCGAAAAAGATCATAGATCAATCTCATAAAATAGAGGTAAAGATTTCCGTTACAATTTTTCATGGTTCAACGATATTTGTTCTGTCTTGCCAAGATCCAAATTTCGAGAGTGGGAAGGCCATAATACAAGTAATTTCAGTCATCCCTTTCCGTTTCATTTGTGATCTTCAAGAAACTATTGCCCATATTCCGTACTCTCTTTCATTTTGTTGGAAGCGATTCTGAACATCCATTCGATTCGAAGGACCTATTTACTATTGTCTGGTTAATGACCATAATCATGAAAAGTGAGCTTTTTCTCTTTTTCTCTGAAATGTTTGGCTCAGACTTTTCAACTTTTGCAGAATCCTTACCAACGGAAGACCTTATAACATCGTTTCATCTGTTATTATGCGTGGTTGAGTGGGTTTACAAAGATCTCTGTTTTCATGGTTGTGAGGAACATATCGACCCGGAATCTGGTAATGATGCCTTCATCCTTCATCCTTTGATACATAGTTGTGGGTTGTGTTTCAGTGAATTCTATGATGGAGAGCAAGGATGGGGTGAGGGTGCTGGAGGTGCTGTGTCGCTCGTTCGATGGTGTTTTACTAGATGCTAAACACTTCCGTACTCACTGGTTCAACCAGAAACGAGAGAGTGTGCTACCTTGTGTTGACCACAAGGATCTTAATGTTGCGGCTAATCACAAAAAATACGTGTATGTTTTTTNTTTTTTCTGTAAATAATTTGAGGTCATGTGATTCATCACCTTCATCTGTTTGCAGTACTTCATTGAATGCCATCTATCACGAAATTATGTTGAGAAAAGGAGAGCTAGATGAAAGGATGTTTCTGCCTGACGACTTCTCTAACATCTTTGACCCGGCTTTCGACAGTCAGTGACATGATACTTTTTTATTTGACCTTTCGGTTGTTGTCATTAGTTGCTGGATATCGTTGAAGTAATGTTCGTCTTAATTGTAAATCTCTATGTGCAGGAAAATACTGAATTGTCGAAATGTTCAGGCGCAGCTGTTGAGATGCTTCGACGTGGTTCTACCGACAGCAAATTTGCTGACGCCGAACTTCTCCTAACTATGTCTACACAGGTGTAATCTTGATAGACGTGATGATTTTTTGCTAATGTTGCTGTATCGATTGCCTTCTTTCTTCTTCTTACAAGCTCAATCGTTTAGAATTGTTTGGAGAAACTCGCCGAAGTGAAACGTTCCCCAGTGCGAAATGATGCTAAGAGGTTACATGTTTTTTCGCACTTTTCCGTGATTCCTCATCTTCTCAGCCCACTTTTACATTCCAGCTACGTGATTTCTTCCCAACAATTGCGACCCCTATGCCCAATCACCCAAAATGATACAAGTGCAACACCCACGCAGCGTCTCAGTGCTATACTGCCGAGTGACTACAAACTTGAAGGATCAGCTTTACAACGGTATTGCTTACAAACTAAGGACAATCCATTATCCGTTATCGAACTCAGTGCGTATATGATCGGCGAGAGGTATGATTTTCCGCTGTCATGAATTACCCGTCTCTTGGAACGATCATGTTGTGCTCCTCAGTCGAGCAGCGCTGCAACTCAACCCTATTGAAGGTTCGTCGAAAAAGTTGCTGCTGAGTGCAACGATCGGCAAGATACATTTGACCCATCGATATCACAGTCTCCAGATGAACATCGGAAAGCGATGACGATGTTATTCTACGTCTTGGTGGAACACATCGTCTTGGGAGAAAGGAGGCAAAATCCGGACCGAGATTTTCAGGTAATGCTGTTGTTTTAGTTCCCTGCTGAGATTGTTCGTGATAGTTTTCATTATTGTTTGGTTAAAGGGGTTGCTACGCAAGGAAGAATTTCTTTCGGCGGTCTTTTGTTGTGCCATGGAACTAGTCCTATTCGTACAAGAGAGCGAACGTGTGTTTCCGTGGTGTTTGGAAGTCAGTAAATTTTCCTTTCTTGAGTTTCCTTTTTTATTTCTTGAGCAGATAAGATACGGTTTTCTCTGCATAAATACTGTTGCGTATTATTGTCTTCAGTCAGCATTTATAGTGTTTCGGTGTTTTCCTTGCGAATTTTTATGAAAAAAGACTATCCTCTTTGATGGAATTAGTCTGCAGTCAGGGTGCTATGGTTAAGTTCATCATAAAACTTATACTGATATACCTAGAAAAACATAAAACCTAAGAATATAAGGGAGAGAGGGGTGAGGGGATGGACCCCAACCCTCTCTCCCTTATATCTTAGGTTTTATGTTTTTCTAGGTATATCAGTATAGTTTTTTGCTCAGGTTTGCGGTCTACCAGCGATAAGTTTCCAAAAAATTATTGAAGTTGTTGTTCGCAATGAGGCCCAGCTTACTCGAGAAATGGTTCGGCACTTGAACAAAGTAAGTTTGAAAACAAATTACAAGTTATCGCTCAAAGTAGTATGTGGGAATAATGGTTTCGTTAAAGCTTGAAGAACGAGTTCTGGAAGAACTGGCTTGGACACATGGTAGTCCTTTGTGGACGTCGTTGAGTCGAAAACCAGACAGTGTCCCTTCTTGTGAAGAAGCGTGGGGCAATCCAAGGAATCCGGTCATCGTTTCACCTACGAAGAGAATGTAAGAGATCGGTTCGAGATCAGAACTCAAGAACATAGACAAAGTTTATCCCACCACTCTGTTGAGGTGTTTGTCATATGATCCTACTCATTGTTTTCTTATGGTCTGTTTAGGCGCTATGAAGTGGATTCAAACAATACTCATCAAAATCAGCTACCACCGTGCAGTGCACAAATGTCATTTTTCAGTAAGGTAAGTTGAGCAAAGCATCCGTACCATCCAAATCATATAAGCGGCTACAGCATCTCTTCAACGCAAGATGATATTGTAACCAATGTAATTGTTAGGGGTTTTCGCCGCTCCTGGATTTCGTTCTAATAAAAGTGCCAAGTAGTGGATAAATTCTATTGTTCCAGCTGTATTACCTTGCATCTGTCCGTCTTACGGACCTTTGTGAACGGGTCAGAGTAGACGAGCGTGGTCGACGAATGGTGTGGACTCTTCTGGAGCACATCCTAAAGGAAGAGCGATCACTCTTCATTGATCGACATCTGGATCAGAACTTGCTGTGCATTGTGTGAGTCTCAACTGTTCTACTCTAGCATAGGAATTTTAATAAGCGCAATGTAGGGTTGCTAAGTTGTGTCCTTTGCGTAAACAATTACATAGGATAACCATTCTTGAGTGTTTTGACCGTGTTTTACCACTGCAAGTCAGAATTTGCTTCGGTACGCAATATTATGTGGGATAACGGAAAATAATGTCATCTTCCAAAATTTATCAACGTTTTTATTTGCAGTTATGTTGTGTGTAAAGCAAATAAGGCCGACACCTCGTTTGTAGACATCATGTCACACTACCGTAATCAGCCACAATCGCGCTCCCACATCTATCGCATGGTTCGGGTTGATTCGAGCATGTGAGTTGCCAAACCTGAAAACTCTGATATGTTTATGAGTTTTATGATGACGGTTTCCAAATTCTATTGTTAGACATGTATCATATTATGCAAAAAATAGAACTTTACAATAATTTTAGCTGTGCATCAAACGGAACGAGTCGGCGTGATGATGGAAAACCATCGGACTCTTCTGCAGCCAATTCTAAGCCTCAGAGTCATTCAGCGGTTGACAAACCCCCAGAGGCGTCAAATACGCAGGATAGCTCGGCATCGGTTGTGGTTCCCCCAACCTCCGAAGCAGAGCCATCGTCTGGGCACCATGTTGACCTGATTGTCTACTACAACAAGGTCTTTTTGCCACGGTGCGCTTTTGTCATTTTTAGCTATAATGCTCAACGCACGCATACCAGAACACTGCATGGGTTTTGTGAGAGTATGGGGCGACATGTTATTAATTTTTCAGGGTGGAAAAATTCATGAGGATGTTAACAGAAAGTTCGTCACTGGCCAGTCTAACCCCGATGCCCGTTCGAAGGATTCCCCGAGGGACACCTTTGAAGAGAAGTCTTTCGGATAAGGTAATCCACTTTGGTAAAATTTGATGCCGGTGTGTAGTAGATGAAAGCAATCAATTCATGGATAAGGGTAAAGTCACTTTCCTTATTTATAAAGTTGGGGTTTGCTTCTTCCTCCACTGTTTGTGGCAATGCCTCGGTTTCAACCTCAGTGTGTTCACAAGAGAATTCTTTACCTTTCCCATTCTATGAGAAAATTTCACTGATCATTTATTGCTATCTTAGAAGTCTTTTTAGGTGACCATTGTGCCATACGGTCAAGTGCCGTATATCCATCGAGATGTGACGAGTGTACGGTACAAGTTAACACAAAGCCCCACTCGCGTATGTAGTACTTCTCTACGGATTTTTCTTCGTTTTCAAGTTCTCATATTTTTTTAGGATTTTCGTGCTATAAACCGACTTCTCAACAGAAATCGCCCCTTGTACAGGATTGGTGGAGCCCCAGAAAAAACCGCCCCTCACGGCTACCGTATCGTTTTGTGATGTTCTTCTGTTCTCTTCTTTAGTTTTTCTCGTTACACATAATATTTATATTTTTAATATGTTACCTGCTAACTTTTAGCAGAAAATTTGTTTGTTCCTCAAACCTCATCAGAATTTCAATTACTGTTACATGCGCTTTTCACTATGCGATAGAATTGTATATAAATAGTCTTTTTGAATGTGTCATTTATTTTATTTTTTGTGTCATGGTTTAACTGTGTTTCTCAATATCTCGAACTCATGAAAGCCAAAACACTGCATGGGTCTTTTACGACACGTTGGTATTATTTACTAGATCCTTGCATTGATATTTCCAAATGTAATTATTTCATTGTAGGTAATAACGTTGTTGTAGCTTTCTTCGTCGTGATATGATTGATGTCTCTCTTGTAAAGTACATGCATCTAAAAGTTCGTTTCAATAAAACAATGCATTTATTTCTATCTGAAGATTGGACACAAAGGGTTAAACGTATGAACTTCCTTGTTCAGAATCCATTCGGAGAAATCACTTATTGACCTTAGGATCAATCCGGTCAACAAAGCACGCTATTTAGGAGAAATTCAGATTAAAGCGGATCATTAAGGGAATGGCCAGATAACCATATTCAAGGGGTTCGTTGGCGCGCGCCCCGCCCCCTGTGGGCGGAGTCACTTACCAGGGGGTGCAATAAAACAAGTGTGCGTCTAACATCAATAACTGCTACATAACAGAACTCGACCAAAAATTATACTTACCTTCTAATGACAATAAATAAGAGATACTGAAAACTAGGGAAGGATTTTCGTACTACCTATTCAAACCCTCCTCCCCCTGAGAGCTGGAGCACGGCTCAATGTCTTGAATCTTATGTTACGGCCTTACCGCGTGAACGACAACTCCATCTTCCTCTTGCCCCGACGATATCCACCACAGCATAGATCAGGACCCCGTAGCTGTGGAATGGAGTCTTCGGCCAGGTGGCCTCACTATAACAGTGAACTATCATTATTGGCCATACCACGGAGACTAGATTTTACGGGTGACTGGAAGTTGAAGACGGAAGAAGTACGGTCAGATATAGGCAGAAGAAATACAGACTGGAGGAAGACGAACAGCCGACAACTAGGAAGACTGACCCACGACGAACGCTGAATTGAGATCGCTGAATTTGCTGACATACTTTGCGCCACATGTTTATAGCCATCTTCAGCAAGTTGATGCTCAGCGTGCCCTTACAGCGCCATAACTGTCATGGCGCTGTGACAGCTTGGATTAGGACCCTATCAAAGGAAATTTCGGCTTGGAGGGGGGGGGGTTAACTAACCAAAGTGGCATTTTGCTGAAGTGAAGCATAAGAAAGAATCCACAGCTACGTTAAAGTAATTAAGAGCTAAAATGGATGTCACATGTTCTGAAGTTTATCTTGTTGGAGATTCCTCTCGCACTCTTCGTAGTTGCGAAGGAGTTTGAAGGTTTGTCCGGTTTAATCCTTGGTGGCTAGTGTGTTTCTCAAGTCCTATGGGGCTGTTATAAACGAACTTTTTTCATGGCTTTAATCGTCTCAATCAAGATACTGTTTGACCCAGTATTCCACTTACTAAGATCACTTATTGTTGCTGTGTCTAGGCAATTTCTGTAACTTTTCCGAGGTGATGAGCTTGAAAACAAAGCATCCTGAGGAAAAAAGCGTAGTCTGTTGACAACGATATCTTTCGACAGGATGTTTTCAGTGAATCACTTTGATTTGCTTCAGTTATTTTATTCGATATGTCTACTCCCAGAAAATAATCATTGGTCGTATGCCTGACTTATTGTTTACATATAATTTACATTGTTCCATGTGTAATGAAGTGTACCCGTTTTTTCTTCAAAGGCGTTTCATTCTCTTGTAATCCTCCACTTCGATACGAGTTTTCGTGCTCTTCAAGTTGCAGCTTAAGTTGGAATTCTATAGCCAACTTCACCACTCCTGAATGGCATTTTTTTAGTGAAGATGGGTGAAAGGGAAAGATGTACGGCTGGTTTTACTATTGTCCAAAAAGACTAATCATTCACAAACGTTAGCTTGGGGTATCGGTTCACTGTAGGCAATATCAGATATCACAAGATTGTAGTTACAGATTACTGACGTCGACCAACCTCCTTTTTGACACCCGCCCAGATGTCGACTTCCCTTTAGAGTGTTAGTATGTTCAAACGCTTATGGGGTCTGCTCAGTCACTCGACGAAGGCAGCCAGTGATGAAGTCCTCCCAAATATATAGGACCAGAACAGATCTCAGAACGAAGGAGTAAAACGCGTTGTCGACCTAGTGAAAGTTGATCCGAAGCCCAATTCCTCAGTTAAATCTCGATCCTACTCACCTTGGTCCTAAGTCCCTATATGATAAGAGGATGTACATTTGTGTTTTTTTTTGAATGCTTATCACTATAGATTTTCCGCATTTTTCAGAATATGAGCTGGATTTCGTCGGCAATTTCTCTTATAAGTATCACCACAAGTACGTTTGGTGTCGCCTCTAACTCTCTCCTGATTTACCTCATTTTGACGAAAACTCCACATCATCTAAGCTCCTATTCCGTGCTTATCCTCAACTGGTCCATCGGCGATCTATTTGTCTGTATGGCAGCCCTTTTCGAACGTCAAAGGTAGGGAGAAAAGTGTATGGTCGTTGGGAAATTTCCAAAGTTTTTGCGTTTATGCGGAATTCACAACCTGCTTCACAATTACGTTCCGGCATGATGGGAGGATCCCAGGATGAGAGGTGGTTCGAAGTAGGTGTATATTGCCGCGTGTGTGGATATCGAAAGGATTTGATCCCCTGACCTTGTGTGTGTGATAGTGTGCCACTGCCGCTACCTCGTCTGAAGTAATAAAAGAGGCTCCTAAAAGCAAGTACCAAGTGGATACAGTACAGCCGATATGTAACCATGAGAATGAACTTAAAACCATTTCAGGATAATGATTAGTGGTCCCAGCTCGTTCTTCATCTTCAGTGGACCGTGTACATATTGGGGATCTAAGGCCTGCTTTGTAGGGTATGTGATGCAACCCTTTTTCGTGATACCAAAGAAACTTTTTTGAGCCATATCTTTTGTTTTTCAGGAGTATTTTTCTTCTGCACTGTCTTGTTCACGGGTTTTGGTCCATGCTGTACTCATTCGCTTATCGTTATTACATCTTGGGCCATAGTCAGCCAAGAAAAGGCATTCTAATACTTATTTCTGTTATCCTATACTTGCCATCTCTTGCTTATTTTGTGAGTATGATATACATATATAATGTTCAGTCCAACTGAACCTTTTTCTAGCCCTTACGGCGAGAGCCCTTATGATTAGGTCACAATTTGTTTGCAGATCTTGTACTGTTCCAAGAATAGCGACGAAGCGAAATTGAAAGCAGAAATCAAGATCCAATTGGGGATTGATGCGAGTGCAGAATGCGTCAGCGGATATCTGAACGAATTTGAATTACACTACGCTCTCATTTATATCACTATAATACCTTTTGTTATTTACATCGCCATCCTCATTCTGAGAAAACTTACCATATGGAAACTAAAATCTTATGAAACGGCTATGTCTGAAGGCACAAGACAGCTCCACGCACAAATGCTCAAGGTATGTTCTCAGTTTACTCGGTGCTGGTCGAGCCGTAATGCTTGCTCCATCCTGGATATTTATTACTTCTTTTAGGTCCATATTTCGGGATGAAACTTTGCATGTCCTATTCAGTAATATGCATAGCCTTCTTGCTTAGCCGCTTAGCCTTGGAGATTGATCCATCCCGTTTGGGTAATGCACGCCGCTTTCGACTCCTCTCCAGAATCGTAGTGGTGTATTGAATGCGTATGTGGCCTATACAATGACTTGTGCTGATATAGGTAGATATCGATCAGGGATTTGAACCCGTGACCGTGTGTGTGAGATAGTGCGCCCTTCCCACTACACCACTTCCGCCCCGATAATACGCATAGATGAAGGAACCAATTTGAAAGATAAACATAGTCCTACCCATTTCCATTGATGTTGAATTCATAAGGCGAACACCAGGGCGACTTCCCACAGAGAATGGTTTCCGATCCCGCTTTGGAATGCGCTCAACGATCAATTACAATAGGGTCTTCGGGGAAACCTTAGCGGAGTCTGTGGCCTATTCAATGAATTGTGGTTTTCAGCCGATGTCAAAGTCTTGATTTTATCCGCTCAAAAGTATTCGGTACCAATTAACCGAACCCGATAGGATGAGAGGCTTGGTTGACCCGGGATTCCGTGGCCGGACCATCGTAGATGATTCAGTGATATAAATTAACTGGGCCAAAATCCTCGATCAAATTTTTTAGACTTTTTTATTTCTGCTATGAAAACATTTATTTTTCTTTCAGATCCAATCAATGGACATTATTAAAAGGATCTTTTTACAGATGCTAACCATCCAGGCATGTTTGCCTACGACAGTAGTCGTTGCCGTTATTGGATCTACACTCGGGAGGTTGAACATCGCTCACAATCTTCTTCTAGAAAACTCTCTGAATATTCTAATTGTACCTGCACAAGCAACGAATTCTCTTGTATCCTTATACTTTGTCAAGCCTTATCGTATTTGGATATGCAATTTGTTTGCACGGCTAGCTAAATCCTTGCCAATGCAGAGGGTTGAAGTAATGACTGTAGCCCCCACGTCTGGAATCATAACAGCTCTTCATAAATGATATTGTTATGTACTTCTTGATAATCATGACGTGTTGAGGTTCTCTAAATTCCATCAAATTAATGACTTGTTGTTTGTTGTTTGTCACTCTTCGTTCTGTTTCTCTTTTTTTGTTAAATCTTCAAGTCTTTGCTAAAAATTTCGATTTTTTCTGACAAACAAATGTCTGCATACTTCTTCGGTTGGAGCTACTTCAGAGGTTTGTTCTTGAATCCGCATTGACTGTTTATCAACGCTGTCAAAGGAATAATAAATTATAATATGTGAAAGTTCTGAAGGAAGGAGGCTGATCAGTCCCGTGGTGCGCCTCGCATTCGACTTCCTGTCGGAATCGTAGTGGCGTATTGAATGCATACGTGGCTTTTACAATGACATGAGGTGGCCAGGTGATATACAAGACAGTGCTTCTATACTCCGAGGCAACTCTGCTATCAATTAAATGACTCCTACAGAAAGCACTTGGCTGGCCTAGGCGGACATCGATTCGGGATTCGAGCCCGTGGCTATGTGTGCGATAGAAGGAGCCACGTACCACTGCACCACCTCCGCCAATTACAATACACATATGTATATGCGTAAATAATGTAGAGACCCCTTGGTAACAACTTTCCATTAGTGAAATTTTCCAGCTAACATTAAATTACTTCACGAATAATTTCCTTAGACATTGGCCTTCCTGGAGAACTACACACCTCACTTCCATAGTCCCATCACACGAAGCTTTGCCAGGCATGGCTCTAACAAGATTTATCCAAACAGAGGTGAAGTAAGATGACATTACTGTCTTCATTCGTACAATCCCTTAATCCTGATAAAGTTTATTCTTGTCGTGATATGATCTCATTGCTAGGTGGAACTGTTATAGGCTTATAGCGGAAAATTTTTGAGTAGCTAATCTTGTTTTAGCATTTAAGCTTCTGAAAGGTGAATTGCGTTTGAAGC